CATCCCAAGGGGCAGTCCCTGCCCCCAGCCCCCCTCCCCCTGCCCCCCTCTCCCTGCTCCAGCCCCCCATTCCCGTCCATCCAGCTGTTTGCTCTGCTCCCACTGGGAGGGTTTGGATCTGCAGGGCACAGGCAGAGCAATTCCAGGGATGGGGCAGCCACAGCAACCCCCTGGATTGCCAGGATCTCCTCACCCTCCCAGGATCCCATCTCCCCCCGCCCTCTGGCAGCGGGAAGCCAGTCCCTGTGTCCTTGTCCCAAGCCCCTCTCCATCCCTCCTGGAGGCCCTTCATGCCCTGGGAGGGTCTCCAGGGCGTCCCTCACGCCTCTCCCCTCTGCTGCCCCGCAGGACATCCGGAACACGGTGGGAAACATCCCCATGGAGTGGTACCAGGACTTCCCCCACATCGGCTACAACCTGGACGGCAAGAAGATCTACAAGCCCATCCGGAACAAGGACGAGCTGGACATGTTCCTGGAGAAGATGGAGAACCCAGAGTACTGGTGAGACCCTCGGGGGAGCGTCCAAGGCCAGGCTGGACGGGGCTGGGAGCAGCCTGGGACGGCAGGAGGTGTCCCTGCCCACGGCAGGGGGTGGGACTGGATGATCCCCAAGTCCCCTCCATCCCAAACCCTTCCAGGGGGGCTGTGCCTGTGCAGGGTGGGGCACCCTCTCCACGTGGGGTGTGTGAGCACAGCAGGGCTGGAAACCACCCCCCAGTTCCCTGGAGCATCGTCTGGAGACCCCCAGGATCTCCAGGGGTGACCCCAGCGGTGTGGCTGCGGGGGCTGGGGGGGTCCTGGCCATCCCAGACCCCCCCATCCCATCCCATCCCGTCCCCTGTGCCGCTCCCACCAGGAGGACGGTGCAGGACAAGATGACGGGGGCGGACGTGACGCTGACGGACGAGCAGGTGGAGCTGGTGCAGCGGCTGCAGAAGGGGCAGTTTGGGGACGTCAACTTCGACCCCTACGAGGTGAGGCCGTGCCTGCTCCCCCTCTGGGGATGGGGCAGGGGGGTTCCCCAATCCCCCCCTCACCATTCCATGTCCCCCCCAGCCGGCCATCGACTTCTTCACGCACGAGGTGATGATCCACCCGGTGACCAACCGCCCCGCCGACAAGAGGAGCTTCATCCCCTCCCTCATCGAGAAGGAGAAGGTGAGGGAAAGTCCTGCCTTCCCAATCCCATCCCCACATCCCACCCTGCTCCTCGTTCCCCATCCCACAGAGCTGCTGGAGTTGATGGGGCTGCTGGAGCTGCTGGAGCTGCTGGAGTTACTGGGGCTGCTGGAGTTACTGGGGCTGCTGGAGCTGCTGGGGCTACTGGGGCTGCTGGAGTTGATGGGGCTGCTGGAGTTGATGGAGATGATGGTGCTGCTGGAGTTGATGGGGCTCCTAGAGCTGCTGGAGTTGATGGAGTTGCTGGAGTTGCTGGGGCTCCTAGAGCTGCTGGAGTTGATGGAGTTGATGGAGTTGCTGGAGTTGCTGGGGCTCCTAGAGCTGCTGAGGCTGCTGGAGCTGCTGGAGTTGATGGAGCTTCTAGAGCTGCTGGGGCTGCTGGAGTTACTGGAGCTGCTGGGGCTGCTGGAGCCGCTGACCCCACCCTGTCCTGCCCCACAGGTGTCCAAGCTGGTCCACGCCATCAAGATGGGCTGGATCAAACCCCGCAAGCCCAAGGACGACACCCCCACCTACTACGACCTGTGGGCCCACGAGGACCCCAACTCCATCCTGGGCCGCCACAAGATGCACGTGCCGGCCCCCAAGCTGAGGCTGCCCGGGCACGAGGAGTCCTACAACCCCCCCCCAGAGTACCTGCTCAGCGAGGAGGAGGTGAGGGGGCCCCCCCAGCCCCCCCAGAGCCGCTGGGAAAGGGCTGGGAGTGCGGGAAGCTCCGTGGGGGTTGGGATGTGACAGGGGCAGGGGAAGGGCTGAGCCTTGGAGGGGCATCTGGGGGGTCAGACCTGCCCTGGGGACGGGGGGCCTCGCAGGGGAGGTCAAAGCAAAGGTGTTTTCCCAGAGAAGCTGTGGCTGCCCCGTCCCTGGAAGTGTCCAAGGCCAGGTTGGAGCCAACTGGGATAGTGGGAGGTGTCCCTGCCCGTGGCACGGGGTGGGAGTGGATGATCCTCGAGGTCCATTCCAACCAAAACCGTTCCATGATTCCATCACTCAGCATCCTTGGATTAAAGAGCAACTTGGGGCCACATCCCAGGGACCAGGGTGGCCCTGCCAGAGCCCCCCCAGGCTGCGTGGGGATGTCCTGGCGTGGGATTTGTCCTGGTGCATCCAGAGGCACATTCAGCCCAGGGGCTTGGGATTAAACAGGCAGTGAAAAATCCTGGTGGGCTGAGGGGGGTGGAGAGATCCTGGTGGGATGAGGAAGGTGGAAAGATCCTGGTAGGATGAGGAAGGTGGAAAGATCCTGGTGGGCTGAGTGGAGTGGAAAGATTCAGGTGGGATGAGGGGATTGGAAAGATTCAGGTGGGCTGAGGAGGGTGAGAACCCCCCATGGGCCGAGCGGTGCCGGACGGTGAGAACCTCCAGGCCGGCTCCTCCTGGGCTCTGGGGGGGCCGTGAGGGGGGTCCTGCCGGGCCCTGAGCGTGCCCCCCTCCCCGCAGAGGTTGGCCTGGGAGCAGCAGGAGCCCGGGGAGCGGCGTTTGAACTTCGTGCCGCGGCAGCACCGCTGCCTGCGGGCCGTGCCCGCCTACCCCCGCTTCATCCACGAGCGCTTCGAGCGCTGCCTCGACCTCTACCTGTGCCCCCGGCAGAGGAAGATGAGGGTGAGGCATCCCCAGCCCCGTCACTCCCCCCTGGGGGGGCCTGGCAGGGTCCCAGCCTGGTGCTGTGCCAGGGGGGGATCCCGGGCCGGGCGCTGTCAGCTCCTCCCTCTCGCAGGTCAACGTGGACCCCGAGGATCTGATCCCCAAACTGCCCAAACCGAGGGATCTGCAGCCCTTCCCCACCACCCAGGCCCTGGTGAGGGGGTGGCAGAGGGGTTTGGGGTGTGCCCGTGGCGGGGGCTGTGCCCAAACCGGTCCTGGAAGGGAATGGAGCTGGGAAGGGGCTGGAGAACTCCTGAGGGAGCTGGGGGGGCTCAGCCTGGAGGAAAGGGGGCTCAGGGGATATTCCAGGGGGACAGGAGGGTGGATCCAGGTGGGATCGGGCTCTGCTCCCAAGGAACAGGGACAGGACGCGGGGAACAGCCCCAAGCTGTGCCAGGGGAGCTTTATTTGGGATATTTGGGATATAAATCCCTGCTGGGAAGGGGCTGCCCAGCCCTGGATCCCCATCCCTGGGGGGGATCATTGGCCATCCCTGGGGAGGTGGCACTTGGGGACACGGGCAGGCCCTGGGGGGGGGCAGGGGGTCCTGTTCTGGGCTCTGTGGGACCCTCACCCCCCTCCCCTCCCTCTCTCCCTCCCCAGATCTACCGTGGCCACACGAGCCTCGTGCGCTGCCTCAGCATCTCCCCCAGCGGGCAGTGGTTGGTGTCAGGTGAGGAATGGATCCCTGGATTGGGAATGGATCCCTGGATTGGGAATGGATCCCTGGATTGGGAATGGATCCCTGGATTGGGAATGGATCCCTGGTCAGGAATGGATCCCTGGTGAGGAATGGATCCCTGGTCAGGAATGGATCCCTGGATTGGGAGTGGGTCCCTGGTGAGGAATGGATCCCTGGTCAGGAATGGATCCCTGGATTGGGAAT